TTTTATGACATCGCGTAGAATAGCTTGCGGAACCGGTGAGACGGCCAGAGACAATGAATTCCAATCATTTCAGCCTGGCCGTCCCTTTCAGGAACAGATGCGGCCTTGAATTTGGAGGGTGGCAGGTCGAATTCTGAGATGGAAGACCAATCATTTCGCAGGCAGCAGTCAGGAGACAGGAGACTCCGAAAGGTAGGTCGGTGGCTGGTCAATATCAAACTGCACCTCTCACTGTAGTATTGGCTCCCGATACTTATTTAAGAGGCCGACAAAAGAATGCTGGTGTGATAGCGTATCGATGGCATCGATAACGAATTGTTTGGATCGTAGGAGTGCAGCCTCTTCACAGTAATAACTAGTCCGACTTCTATGAGATGGTGAGTCCGGCAGACACGCGTCAAATTGGATCACTTGCAGGACTATACGAAGGCGTGTCCGGTAGATAATAAAAATCCATCAATCCCTCACTGTCCCGCATGGCCATTTTCTTTCCTTTCCAATCCGTCAAGTGGTCTACAATTGAAATATGGCGCGCACGAAGCAGACTGTAAGTGCATGCTTGACTGATAAAGTTATATTACTTACTTTCTAGGCACGTCTCTCTACAGGTGGCAAACAACCCCGTCGAGCCCTTCACACCAAAACAGCACGAAAGTCATTGAAAGCGTGTGCTACTGTTCCTTCAACCGGAGGTGGCAGGTTTTTATTCCTGTCCTGAGTTCCTCCATCGGCGATGCTAATTGTGCACAGTGAAAAGAGCTCGTCGGTATAGACCGGGAACGGTTGCTCTCCGAGAGATACGACGTTATCAGGTCAGTCATGAGTGCCTTCATCGTTTGAGTCTGACTGATACGTGGTCAGAAATCCACCGATCTGCTGATTAGGAAACTTCCTTTTCAACGCCTTGTCCGAGAAATCGCCCAGAGCTTGAACTCGGATCTCAGGTTTCAATCGTCAGCCCTGGGCGCCCTTCAGGAAGCTGCTGAAAATTATTTGGTGTCGCTTTTTGAAGACACGAACTGGTGTACCATTCATGCCAAGCGAGTCACCATACAGTCCAAGGATATGCAATTAGCCAGACGGCTCCGCAACAATAGGATTCCTGTGCCTTAATGTAGTTCTCAGATAGCTTTATCCTCGAGTGATGTATGACAAATAAAGCTTCTTCAACCCTGAAATATCAGCAACAATGGCATTTCCTGTTCTGGCCGCAAATGATTCGATCATGCAAGCAACCATAATATATGCTAACTTCTGCGCAGCGCACGAAACTTGATCGCTGTTTGTCCAATGAGTCTTACTGGTTGGTGCCTACAATGTCATTCTTTGACGGGATCTCACATTTTGAGAACGACACACTATGCATCCATGGTCTCTGGAAGCCATCAGTGGCAAGTCTGGTTAGATCGGCAATCGTATGGCGAAATGTCTCAGGTCTTGGATCAGGTTTGATTTGAGCATCCCACTGCGCAGCGTAACAGAACTCAGGAAGGTGGCTTAGAATACATTCGAGGTATATTCCACTTCTGGACCGAAAAGGCTTGATTTACTGATAGACAAGTATAGCAACTTCTGCTTGTGAGCAAGAATTAGTCCTTGTTTTCGGGTTGCACTTGGTCCAAGTGTCGAATTTTAAAGAGCGCGAGATATCGGTCGCTCGACCTTCGAAAGCGTGAATCAAGGCCAATCCACTTTTCCCATCTAGCATTCAACTCGGAAGCGCTCACTGCATGGTTTCCTGCCGATCACCCTGCTTTGACTGAAGTGATGGGGTGACCTGCTTCATGTATAGAGCCTCCTCATCGTCGTCTTCGATTTCACGTTGTTGCACTGAATCTCGACCAAAGTAACGTTTTAGATCCTCTTTATCTCCGATGTATCTTATCAAACATTTCCCAACGTCCTGATCAATTTCTTCGATTCCAAGCAACTGGCGCCTGGCTTCCTCTACCCTCGCAAAGCTCGCCTTGATCCAGTAATGTTGGTAATAGCATCTCTTTCTACCGTTCGTGTTGTGAGAGGAATTCATGTTATTTTGGTTGTTTCGTTCTCTTGGGTGTGAAATTGTGTAATCGCGACTGGCAGGACACTTTCGGACACACGGTATGCAACGCAAATGATCTTTGAAGAGTTCCAAGTGAAGAGTTCCAAGTGAAGAGTGATAGGCACACAATGGTATGATGCCAGCTTCTTATACATACCTCAGGATTTGTTCTTTCAATTTCTTGACCGATGTCACCCTGAGTTGCTTATCGGGCCGCCGATATCAACTTGATTGGCCCTATAAGCTTGTGATGTATTGAGGAAGATGCACAACGACGACTCATGCAACTGTCCATTTTCTTCTGGCGCTAAGCCACCTTGTCATCAATTCCACCTTGCCATATGGTTCTTGCAATGGGGCACAGGTGAGTCTTGTGAGCGCGTAATCCTAGATCTTCACACGGTCGGCAGCTAGTCTCAGCCAATCCTTTGACTCTTGCTCTCTTTGCCTTTCTGTCTGTTTCGCTGTTTGCAAGATGTTTCAAGGCATTGCCGTGATTATTCCGCCACTGGCAACGAATGTTTGTCTCCATTACATGAGTGTCACTTGGCGCAGGGCCCAAGGCAGTCACCCGAATCCCTCAAGGCCTACGGCGATAACCTACGGAGATTGGCTCCCGTTGAAGCATCGTTGTGAACTCTTGGATGAGACGAGCGTTTGGGAGGAGAAAAAAGGTGGAGAAGGAGAAGAATCGCATGATCACTCCGTACGATGGATGAAGAAGTGCGTCACGAGCTAATTATCTCCTCTGAAACGAGGTGTCCAAGGGGGCCGATTGAATCGTAGTTTATCATGCTCGGGTCTGGTGTTTTGCTTTGACCTTGTGTAAAGTCTTGCTACAGAAATAAAGATTCTGTTAGCGAGCTCGAATTGAAAATACTCAGGCCAGATCACGCGGCTTGTAAGATCTGAAATGGATCCCTACCGTATTTCATTTGCATTGTTTTTGATTTTTGATTTTTGACCCTTTTTGTTTCGTTCAATCACAGAGCTATAGTTTTCAGTCCGCATAGTAAGGCAGGGGTTGGCATTAGCATTCGACCTTTTCTACAGACTAGTGTGAACAAGGGGCTGTGGTAGAAGGTAGTTGAGATGTTGGATTGAGCAAGATTTGTTGCGTGGGCATGATTAAGCTCCTCCACCCACAGCCACAGGTATTCGCTGGAAGAGGGAACAATCTGATTGCGGACCTGTGTGAAAAGTGTGGGGGCATCGTCCATTTATTGCAGCACACTACTCATTACGGAGTACCACCCTACACGGACTTCGTAGGCACTCGTCCCTTACGCGAAAGTGAAACGCCAACCATATCAGCCGCAAAAACAACAGGGATTCATTAAACACCACTCTCGAAACCTTGGCACTTTGTCCGCACTAGTTTAAACAGCACACAGGTCGGGAGGCTGGTTAGAGTTGATGCCTGCGCTGCGACCGTTCCGGCGACCACCCTTAGAGGTTGGACACCCATCTCATTGGGCTAGAGCAGAGGCTTGAAACAGCTGCCTGTCAGGCCTCGATGAAAAAAAAGGCTGGAAGAGGGGTGCAAGCCCTTGTTTGGAGGGTGTTTGGGGATGATGATGCACCTTTCGCAGTCATCTGTCCCCCAAAGTTACATGTCGAAAATGGACCTTGTGTGTAGAAGTTTGCCCTTAGCTACAATATTTTCTCAACTGCGTTCTTATCTATATTCATGTCTGCCCTCCAGTTGATTAATTGCTGTTCTTCGAAGAAATATGAGAAATATGGCGGTCCCACAGCAGTATCATAAGGAGTCCCGAAAAGGACAAACAACCCATCAACCGTCAACGGAGGCAACCTCTCTTCTGCCGAGTGACCGTCGCCGCTGTAACCTCCTCAAACTAGAAGTGCGTTCTCCCATCAGTGACATTCGAGGATGGCAAAAGGGCGTGGATCGACCATACGTTTGATCAAATCGTCAATTCCATATCGAGAGGGTTCCCCAACTCCCTGACCTGGTTTGTTAGCTCTGGATCAACTACAAACCGTTTGCCGAGTCTATAGAAGGATCCTCATCGATACTCCTGGAGTAACTGTATTTTCAAAGAAAGGGGCTTCAGACTCTGCTGACAGTACCTACGACCTTACGACTACCACTCGAGGTTGCGAAGCCCCAGTAGAGCAACTTCCAATGAGGCAACACAGCCAACAGGTCCCGAAGACCCCGACTTTAAGTCGAACAGTGTATTGATGTGGTCGCAAGAAGAGACATCCGATCGTAAGTGCGCACTCAATGCAAGCCTCGAGCTTGTACTAGACGACCCACATGTTCTCCCAGGTCGGCATCGAACCAGCAGCACCACTTCAGATGAAACCACCTCTACATCCCTTGGAAGCCTTTAGGAAGAGTATCCTTGTTGCGGACAGCAAGGTCAAGAAGGCCTGGAGAACGGAGATGGCAAAGGAGATGCGTCAAAGAGAAGTTTCCCGATGAAATGGCTGAAAACATGATTATGTGTTCCTGGATACTCACATTGCGGTGAGAGAGCTCCCAAGGTGTCGTTTCATCGTCTAGTTCCCATATAGTGTCTACTGCAGCAACTTCCGAGAGAATTATTTGATCAGTGTCATTGAGTTCTTTGGAAACGACACACAATACGCGTTTCTTGATCTTTTGTGCAAAGTACAGGCTCATCATGTTGGCTCACCAGGGTTAAACACAAACTCGGACAAAGGTTGATGTTGTCTCCTGACCATTGAGTATGCCAAGTTTTCGGAACATCAGTCGGGAGCTGTTGGCGGAAAATTCGACGATGTTCGATCACCGTGGAGAAAAAAGGTGAACAATGCAGGCTGGGAGGCAAATGTCAACTGGGCTGGAAGCGAATGCAATTGGCGACACGTGATATGCACTATTTCGATCACGTGCTTACCATGAACAATTCGGGGGACAGGTTAATTCTAGGCGGCATTTACCCTGCAGGCACCGTCATCCCAAGAGGTTAACACGCATAACTTCAAATCGAGGCACATCGCAGAGAATCACCGCGTGTCTCATCAAAAGACAAAATGAATTCTGCATCCTGCAAGGATCATGCAATATGCGGCGCCATCAAAATGATTCTCGCCGTGGCTTCCTGCCCGAACGCTGTGTGTCCAGGCTCATGTCTGGACGATTTTGCGACTCAGGAATGCCGAGACCATCCAAACTGGAAGCCGTTCATCAAGAAACTCTATGCGGATATCCAAGCATTCTTGGAAGCCATTGCATCCGTTTCTGATGTTGGACCACGATCAGAGGACGAGCGACAGAGGTCTACAGTATTGGGGAGCTTAGACGGATCGGGATGTTATCGACCGAGAAGTTCTGTTGGAGTGTCGAGCAATGAACTTGAATCTCCAAATGTGGAAAACTTT